TGTAGCATCAATGGATTAACAACAGAGAATAAGTAACATTTCGAAGTAATATTCTTTTTTATTTTTGATCTCTGAGTGAACTGGGCAAACAATCGAAGACCAGCAAAGATGGCATTGAATTATTTAACAAAATAATTTCCAGAGCTGATGAAGAATACAAGAACCTCGAGAAGAAAATAGAGGCCATGTGTTTCGACATGACAAAGCTGGAGACAAAATTAAAGGCGAGTATAATATTATCATCATGAATAAATTCTTCATTGTTTTGGGCTGCTGCTTGCCTCTTTTTGCGATGACTAAATTTGATTTATTTTTACTGGGATTCTTCCTTGATGAATCGCAAAATTAATGATAAAAAGATCAATTGGACGGCAATGAAGATTATAGTAACGATTTTTCAGTTTTTTATATGCGTTGATCAATTATTACGCAATTCCTAAATTGAATGTTTTGTGCTGCAGCAAAAACACAAATGTTGACTTGATTGAATCATGACCTAATTCAAAGCATGCTAAACGTAAGATAATTTAAAGTACCCTAAAATTTGCTTTAGCGTTTGCTTCACGTTGCGCTGAGTTGTGCCGATAATCCAGTTTATTTAATTGCTTCATAATCAATAACTAACATCGGGCCAGTTGGTGCTCAGCATCGGTCAGATGGTGCTCAGCATCTATCCAGCTGATGCTCAGCATCTGTCCTGCTGGTGCTCAGCATCTGTCCTGCTGATGCTCAGCATCTGTCCTGCTGGTGCTCAGCATCTGTCCTGCTGGTGCTCAGCATCTGTCCTGCTGGTGCTCAGCATCTGTCCAGCTGGTGCTCAGCATCTGTCCAGCTGGTGCTCAGCATCGGTCCTGCTGGTGCTCANATTATGGAGTGTCAATTAGACTCTAGTGGAAGGAATTCAAGGTTTTAATTATCACGTAATTCTATAACACTTAAGAGAATAAACCGTGCATTTTTCTCACAGATATTTGCATCTCAAAGAGAGTTTCAGCGGATGACTTCTTAACAAAGATCATAAGAGGAAAACTCTTGTGCATCCATGTGGTGGCTCTGGAGGACAAGGATTTGAGTTGGTTCACGAAAGTATTGGAGAAGTTGATCCCTGACAAGAGGTAAGTTCTCCATTGGCGGGAGACATTCAATTTTTTTAATTCATTTATACATCAGCCATAACATGTTTTTTTTCACAACGCAGTCCTTTTTATTACGGGTTGCGTAAAACGAAAATTGTTTCTTGAACAATATTCTTAGCATTTTTTGTTCCCTCCGTTCACTAACTCCGTTTTGTCATTAACTCCGTTTTTTTGGTGGGAATTGGAGTCATAATTTCTTGTCTTTCAAAGTCAATTAAAGTATTATCAACCATTTATGATCATCAACCATCAACCATCACCAACCATCTACGATCTAAATCTTAAATCTAATCTCGGCCATTCACGATCCTAGTGCATTATCAATCATTTTAGTTAGTCTTATTTCTATAACGGTGCTACTGATGCCTGGTGCATTCTCACGATCAGCATTTCATACATCGTCGAGAGTATAAATGAAATTACTATTATTCGAAGATAATCATTAAATAATCTTACCCTTTTTTGCACGGTAGCGACACAGAGATCTACTTGCCTGCCTGCGGCCTGACCGACAGCGGAGCCATGAAGTTGCTGCAGGACGTCATAGCTTTGGGTGGCATCAAACGACTCTGGTTTGAGAAAGATATTTTCTCGCCATCAGAAAAGGTTCTATCAGAATCAGCAGCTAAATTGACACGAATTAACCTGGAATGGGATTTCACTCACTTCTGAAGCAGAGAAGAAGGCACATAATTTAGCCCTATCTTATCTATCTCTTAGCCCTATCTCCAGCCGCAAGACTCCAAACATAGAAAAAACCTAGCCAATCAACGAAAACCTCGCAGGTTAGGTCCAGTTAGGAACAGGTTCCATTAAAAACACAAAAACCCTAGAAAAAACCATAAAAACACTAAGATTACCGTATAAATCGAGAACGCGGGCGAAATCGCGAAAATTTACACGGGCTCGACATCACCTTTAGGTGGTCAGGATTCTATATACCAAGTTTCATTAAAATTGGTTCAGTTGTTTGGAAGAAATTCGATGTACGATGCGATAACACAAAAAACCTAGAAAAACCCATAAAACACTAAGATTACCGTATAAATCGAGAACGCGGGCGAAATCGCTAAAATTCACACGTGCTCGACATCACCTTTAGGTGGTCAGGATTCTATATACCAAGTTTCATTGAAATTGGTTCAGTACTTTGGAAGAAATTCCATTTACGATGTTTAAAAACACAAAAAACAGAAAAACCCATAAAACACTAAGATTACCGTATAAATCGAGAACGCGGGCGAAATCGCGAAAATTCACACGGGCTCGACATCACTTTTAGGTAGTCAGGAATCTATATACCAAGTTTCATTGAAATCGGTCCAGTACTTTGGAAAATATTCCATGTACGATGAATTTCTTGAGTCACGGCCGTGAGAGCGGCCGTGAGACAGGCGACAGGCCGCGTTTTTGTCCAGGAGGTAAGAAGCAGGTTACCAAATGACATTTTACTGGAATACGAGGGTTTCGAATATTCATTATCAAGTAGGTGAAGAGTTATTACAAAGCTGAAAATTGAAATTTTGAAATGAAGTAAGATAATATAAAATGCACCGGCAAGATATTTTGATCTCAAATCACCAGCAAGAAATTGTGTTCGGCTTATTGAAAATAAAAGAAAATTGTTAATAAAAAGTAAGCGCTGGTCTCCAATCAAACCTGCCAAAATACTTATTATGCAAATCTATGACAAAATCCATAATACCGAATTTTCATTTATAATTGTGATACTAATAAAATACTAATTCCAAGTTTTAATTAATTATTATAGTTTGTTCAAACGTTTCAACAATATATTTTCTGTTAATAATCATTATTTAATTACTTGTTCAAGAAATTGTACTATCATTTAAAAATTGTGCACCATACCGCATTTCAAATATGCTCCGTTATATTATTTTCATGATGAAGAATTGGCGATAGTTGTTTTAAACGTGTTCGATACGCGTCCCGGAGTTCTGTTCCAACCGTTGAAAACTTGAGGCCAGAGGGGTTCTTCGTGCTGAGCTACCGTGACAGCAGCCGGCTTTCGGCCGGCTGCTACGTCATCTTTCTGGAAGACTGGAACTATCTTTCTCTAACTTTGAAAATGCCGTGCTGTCCCGCTACGAGGCATTGAGCGGGCGGATGCCATGGTACGACCAGCTAAAGTAAAGTTTAACTCCTGAACACCTATAAATGCTCCAGGCATGTGAAGGCGAGGCATCTAACTGCAAAATTCGTTACAAAGATTTTAAGATGCCTCCATGTAGCTACATGGTTAGTGCTCCCGGGTTCGTGGTTAGTGCCCCCAGGTGAGTTGTTACTCATGTTAGTGTCCCCAGGTTCTTGGGCCTGGGCCGGGGGGCCCTGGTGTGGGGCTATCTGCGAATCTGCCCTGGAGTGTGGCTATCTGCGAATCTGCCCTGGAGTGTGGCTATCTGCTGGTATCTGCCATGTGGCCTGGAGTGGGGCTATCTGCCATGGACTTGGAGTGGCCCGAGTGGGACTATCTAACCTGGAGTGGGGCTATCTGCCCAGCCCTGGGGGCCTGGACCTGGAGTAGGGCTATCTGCAATGGAGTGGGGGCTTTCTGTCCTGCAGTGGTGCTCTCCAGCTCTCCACCCTTGACCCTGGGCCTGGTGTGGTCTCCACTCTCCAGTCTCCACTTTGGTGGCCCCGTTCTGTAGCCCTTCAGGCTTCAGCAATTGAGATATCTTGAGTTTTTTTTTTTCAAGACACCCAATTTTGTACCTGAAAATATAATTCAGTCAAATTCATTGAGCTGTTCTGACATGGGGCTGCATTGAAGTTTGAACCATCCTTCAGAGGCTCCCATAAATTCCAATTAAAGAAAAGAAAATGATATGCATCCCTGCTTTGTTTTGGTGGTGCAACTCTGATCCCGACTGCCAACTGCAAGTACTGCGCAATACAGCGCTGATCTTGTAGAAAATATGCGGTGCCATTAAAAAAAATGTGGGTCATTAAAGGGTTAGATTAAAAAGTTGACTCTTGTGAGCTAAGTGGTATAGTCAAATGGGGTAAGACAGGATCGCAGCCTTCATGGGGTAAGAAAGGACCAGCCCATATCATGCATTCTAATTGCACTGAATTCAATTTGATAGAAGAATATGTTAGAGCAATCATTGCATGTCATTTCAGTGCTTGTTTCAACCCTCTTCTGCAAATAATGAATTTCTGGCTAATTTTTAAAGAAAACTTATGTAAAGAAGGGTCACAAAATAGTTAACCTGTCTCTTATACACATCTAGATGTGTATAAGAGACAGGGNAAGTATGGAAAAATCCATATCGCCATCTCATTTGCGAGTGGAGTAAAGTCTATCCCTGTCTCTTATACACATCTAGATGTGTATAAGAGACAGTGCATAAGCACCTAATATAGTCTGTGTGTATCCATGGTTGAACTAGTATAAGTTTGACCCATGAGAAGCTCATTTTTGCGGATGTAGTTTGTTGTTCGCCTGTGACGGATGTAGTTTGTTGTTCCACTGATCTCAGTGACGTCACGGGCATTAACCAATCACCGATATGCGATCAAACCAGTCAATCAGTCATGGGAATGACGGGATTGTTTACGTTTCTCGATCTCAGTGACGTAACAAGAAAGCTGAACTGAATGGCGGAAATCCTTGTGTTTATATAGTTCAACCATGGTTTGTACCTATCTTCACTATACTCTAGTCTATGTGTGGCGTTCCTAGTAGGTGAGTTACAGTCGAAATAGAAGTTAGGCCAATGCCATATGCGTTTGAACCTTCACAACGTTTCAAATAGGTATAAATTATTGGTCTGTCAACTTTTCTTTCTCAATTGATAGTATTGCAAATTAGTTGTCGTGCTGATCACCCTTATTTTGCAGGACCGTTTGTTCCGGTGGCCGCGAAGTGCCACCGCGTTCAGTACTTGACAGGCTATTGCCCCGGCCAGCGGGCATTCGGCGGTTGAATCAACTACCTATTACAACGTTTGAAATCGGGGTGAAAGGAGGTTTAGAATGAAAATTGAAGCAACATCTTTCATGAAACGTCGTACTGACGTTACAATGCAACGTTGAATCAATGTTGCTACTATGACGTTGCTGTAACGTTGAATTCTATGGTTGAATCGACGTTGAAACAACTACCTATTACGACGTTGAGATCGGGGTGAAAAGTGGTTTAGAATGAATATTGAAGCAACATCTTTCATTGAACGTCGTACTGACGTTACATTGCAGCGTTGCATCAATGTTGCTACAACGACGTTGCTGCAATGTTGAATTCTATGGTTGAATCGACGATGAAACAGCTACCTATTACGACGTTGAGATCGCGGTGAAAAGAGGTTTAGAATGAAAATTGAAGTAACGTCTCATGAAACGCCGTAATGACGTTACAATTCAATGTTGAATCAATGTCACTACTACGACATTGCTGCAACTTCAAATTCTCCAGTTGAATCAACGTTGAAGAACCAACCTGTTTTTCGTCCGTAGCAGTATTCGAATAGGGGATCGCTGTAGACCGCGCGACGCCTTAGCTACCTTGACCACTGCAGCTCGCGTGCATGAGCAATAGAAATAAGCTAAAGAATTGTTTGACTACTTGAAAATTGAAATGCATTCTCTGGTCATTAATCGTTCACTTATATATATATATATATATTTCATTCAATGTTGGTGTGAAAACATTAGTTCCTTGCTGGTATATAGCTAAACATTCAACGTACCGATATCGACCATTTTTCAACGTTGAAATAAGGTTATTTTACGTCCGTTCTAGCTTTGGTCAGATTTCGACGTTGATCGGACGTTTAAAAATGAATAAATGAATAAACATTCAATGTACCAATATCGACGTTGTTTCAACTTTGAAATAAGGTTATTTTACGACCCTTCTGGTGTTGGTCAGATTTCGACGTTGATATGACGTTTAATTTTGGTTGTTCAACATTTCAACCCGAAATCAACCAGTAATCAACGTTGTTTCATCAAGGATGTTGGGAAAACACAAATTTTCTTTGAAATTTCAATCTCAAATAAGGCATTTTTGCTAAAATACTAAAGTTTCTTGGAAGTTTCTTGGCCAAACTTCTTAAGCCTATTGTTGCTAGCAAAAGTAATGTACAAAATGATGATTAACTATGCCAGCTGCATAATATCATCCATATTTTGCGCTCAGAAGACTAGATGGATCATACCGTCGTGTTTAATGTTAGGATCTCGTAAGACCAAGTGGACTGAAATGTTGCCTTACATTTTTCAATATACAATTTTCAATGTTCCATACTCATCTATACACTACTTAGTAACTGGACTCACTAGAAATTATAACAAAAAAAATTTATGCGCTTAAAAAAATGTGGTCATTAAAGAGTCAACAGTTTTCTCGTGACATAAACTCCAATGTGACTGATAAATATCAATAGAGTTGACATCCTGCAACACAAAACAGTAACAAGTGGTTGTGTAATCAAATAATGTGTTTCTAGATTGATAATATTGAATATCAGGTTTGTGCTTTTATTAAAGACCTTGTAACACAAGAATTACCTGTTGGTCCTGTCTTACCCCATGCCCGGTCCCATCTTACCCCAGTGGGGTAAGATGGGACCAGCTCACTTTTTTTAATCTGTACAGAAAACTATGTTGTATGCAGAAAGTCTGAGTTGTAGCTTAGAAGCCCATTGCATAAATACACCTTGTGATAGGTTTAGGGTTTTTTATTTATTCATGGTATAGATGCTACATGCTTGTTAGTGATTTCGGTCCTGTCTTACCCCATCTGACTATAAGTGTAGCTTTTCATGGAAAAGCAACAATGTTATCTAGTTTATTTTTTATCTACTTATGATATTCTACTACATTGTTATTTACTTATGAGCATGTTCTGAACCTGGTAATTTTTTTTTACAATTTTTCATTTGGTTCTTCTAGCATGAATTTGCCATGAAATGCGAAAAAATCGTTATCAGTCAATCGATAAAAATCTTCAAGTTTAAAAATTTTTAATCATGATGGTCTAAAATGCATTGCAAACAATTGATTTCTTATTTTGTTTTCTTCTTTATTTAAACTTGAAGTAAGTTGAGGAGTTAGGTATATGTGGCATGGGATGTCTGACCCCAGTGGGTTTGTTTGTGTCAATCATCTGGTGGCTCCAACTTCCAAGCCTCCAGCAAAGTTAAGGTTCCAGCAGATTGATAAAACTAATAATTAATAAAACTGATTATCTGGTATTCAATCAAATAATTTGAAAGATACATATGGATATACATTTGTATGCATTGAGATGTGGAGTCTAGAGAGGAGACTGCTTGAGGAGTGAGGCTGGTAAGAGTTGTGTGTGTCTTTTCTGAGATTTCTCAACTTCCTACCTGTACTCTAGCCTAGGAATTGGTGAGTTTGCCTAGGGGTTGGACATTGGAGTTGTAGTTCATGTGGGAGGTAAAACACTAAATAAAGTAGTACTCTATGCTGATGAATTGCTGGTGAATCTGGGTTAGTAGTGTAAATGGTGAGGAACTCTAAGGTTTGCTTAAAAATATGTGAGAAAGGGCTAAAGGCTTTGAGTTTCTAATTAATGTGTGCATGGCATCAATTTTGAGAAGAGTAATGTGTTAGCTATGGAGCAGCTGAAGACTTAGAATGTGTCAGCTAGAGTAAATATGAATGCAATAAAATAGGATGGTTGGTATTTGCCTATAGTATTTGCCAAATTCTCTCCCAAATACTATTTGGGAGTGAATTTGGATCAAAATAGATGTGAATAAACTGATTCTATGAGTCTTCATTAAAGCAAATCATTGTTTATGTAGGAATACTTGCCAACACTTTGGAATGCAGCAATTAGGCCATTGAGCAAGATATTAGTTACAAATTGTTAGAATTATTCTCATTTGCACAAGCGCATCCTAATTAGCCTGGCTCTTTGGCTCTTTTCAAATTGTAAATGTATATATATGTCAGTGAAAATCTAATTTTATTTGTTAATTGTTTCTGTGATATTTTCATGAACCAATTCTTTCTTATTTTTCTTTCATTCAGTGTGAGTTGAATACAGGTTTTGATCTACAGATTGAGCTGAAAAATAAGCAAGATGTCATCAAATTTAGAATCATCATCTATGCTGAAAATATCTAGCTTACTTAATGAAGTGAAATCAATTATTGTTAAGCAACAAGAACAAGTCACAGCCTTGCCTTGTGGCCATCCATGTGTGGTTTGCCAAAAATCATTGCCTGCTTCTGAACAAGACACTAGTTCTCATCAAATCAAATCAGACAGTGTAAGTGATGATGAGAGTGAACCAAATCATAATTGTGATGAAAGACTAATTGATGATGTTTTCTTGTATGATTTCTGTTCATCCCATGGACATATACTAGAAAATTGGTGCTGCAAATGTCAAGTAGCAATTTGTAAGAATTGCCCTAACAAGCATTACACCCATGGAGTTGTTGTGGCAAGTGAAATGTTCCACCAGGAAATGGCTGAAAAACTAGTCAACAGCAATTTTCGGATTGAGTCAGGAGTCAAGCTTGTAACTTCAGTCAAGGAAAGCATGACTGACTGTGATGAAGGTTTGCGGTTGACAAAGGAGGCTCAAAAAGTTGGTGAGAAACTGAAGGCTCGTAAAATGCATCTCACCAAGCAGCTTTACCATATCCGTGAATTGTCAAGAGCCATCCAAGAACAGCCAGATTCTACAACTCTACAGGAAAACCACTGGCAGTTGTGCAAAGTTATCTCCAGAGCAGATGAGGAGTACAGAAATTTAGCTAACAAGATTCAAGCTATGTGTTTTGATCTAGCAAAGCTGGAGACAAAATTGAATGTAAGTCAACTTTTTGTTATTAAACAGTATTGAGGTTTCCAGGAACACAGCAGAAAATGATAAATAATTATAAAATGATAAATGTGGAATATATTGAAATATGGTACCTATTGCATTTATATGTTGCTTCTTTCTTGCTGACTAATTTGGTTCAGTTGCTGCAGTAGGTATACTGTGCTGTATTTTATCTTGAAATTTTATGTGTATTGGTACCATTTCATGGTGAAAGTGTTGATTTTTTTTTTCAAAATAAAAATTTTTTCCCATTCCCAGGAAACTTACAAGGTTCTTCAAGAATGCACTACACCAATTTTACCAGAAGAATTTATGAAGAATTCTACAAGCTGGACAATAACTGGCGAGTATGAAGCCTGCAAAGCCTTGGCTACACTCAACACTTCTGATCATAAACCTTCAGGACCTGTTGTAGTGACCTCCACTTCTGAAAAGCCAATAAAATGTTTGTCTGAGCTTCTTATGAGACTGGGAAAAGGAGGACATCAAATGAAAATCAAACTATTGGATTCCTTCTGGTCAAAAGAAACACCACTAGCTGACTGTGTGAAGCTGGAACCTTTCCTCAAAGAAGGTTACGGGTGAGTGTAATGTTCTGAACATGATTTAGCAAATAAGAAAATAGCAGCCATTAAGTTGTGTAGAAAATTATCACCGACAAACTGTTAACCATACCAGCAAATTTAGTAATTATTTCTCAGAAAGGTTGGTACATAGCACTTAAAATAGTTTCAATATCAAATTTTGTCTTAAGCTTGTCTTTGTGATTTTTGTAAACCTTGATGTTAGGGCCTCAGCTTCTGAAATAAGTATTATTATACCGTACTGCTCTTTTATCAAGTTAAGCTCCTGTAGTACAACTCTGTTCATGATCTATACCTAATATCAAAGTCAGACCTCACTTGTTTATTCAATATAAATCCATACTCATGGACTTTAATTACCTACTATTGCTACTATGTCTTGGCACTTTGAGTGAGAGTGCAGGCGTTTCCAGTGCAGAAAATTAGACGAGCAATGCAAGAATTTTGTAACCAAAATTATTTCATGTAAATTCTAAATTGAAGACTTGATGTGTGCTAGTCAAATTCAGCTGTATGCAAATGTGTAACCAAAAATGCATTGCAATTTGCTGTAAAAATAAACCTTTATCAGCTATGAACTATTGTTTTGCAAAAATTATGTAACAGCAATGAAATAAGATGAAGCTGCTAGTTTATTTATTCCAATTATTTATTTCTTGTGCTAACTGTAGGTGACAGATTTTAGATTTTCTGATAAAATTTTTGCAGCAAAGTACCGGAAACATTTGGACAATCTTAGTATGAATGCGTGTATAGAAACGATTATTTGTATTTTGATTTAATTCTACATGTCTAATTTTTCAGTTATTACCTGCTCTCATTTATGGGTCACTTGAGAGAGTGCACTCTTCAGAACCTTCGGGCCAAATACCTCCAGGAAATCGGTCTTCGCCTTGAAGCTGCTTCTGATGTAGAGCTCTTCAACAAAAGTCCTGTACTTTATTGTTCTCGACGTGAGTTACAATCAAAATAAATAGATTATAATGTATATTTTAGTGAGCGTAGTGAAATTGTCTTTCAGTTTACTGTGCTTACTTAGTGAAAATTTCACTGGAATGTTTTGTTGACAGAGCACTCTTTTGCAAGGAATGATTTTAGTCCCAGAATAAAGACTGTTTGATTAGCAATCCACGTCAATCAATCAATGAATACAAAACTTTCTTGCTTTAAAAATGCTGTGAAAGCATGGTCAGTAATTGTTGGTATTTTGAGAGAAAAAGTGTATATGGTTGAAAGGTCTTATTTCCTATTTGATATTTCTCTTTCGTTTTTCATAAATAAATCTTTAAGAATAATCAAGAATGTGAATTACTTGTTAGTGAATTGTTTTTTTTTTCAATCGGTGTTCCTTGAGGAGACTACCTATGTCTTAGTGTAGCCTTATGTATTTTAATTTGTTAACGGAGTGTATAAATCTCAAATCAGCTTATAAACCAAGCATTAATATTATTCACTGATCTAATTTGTTCTCACATCTAAGTCAGGGTTAGAAGGATTTAAGGCTTATGTGCAAACTATCGAGCCCGTGTAACGCCGGGCTAACTGACTTGTTTATATATGAGTACTATGAATTAAAATTGGCTGGAAGAATTAATTTGTTGTTTTTTTCTCGTAGATGTTAGCATCTCGAAGAAACTTGCCGCGGAGGACTTGCAAACAAGAATTAAAGCAGGAAAAAATTTGTGCATCTATGTAGTGGCTCTAGAAGATAATGACGTGGACTGGTTCTTTGCTGTCTTGGAAAAATTGCTTCCAGAAAAGAGGTAAATTCTACCAGGATTTCAGTAGGCGTGCAAATTATTTACAAATTTATCAACTGTTCATAGTTCTCAAGTGATGTTAAAATATCTCAGTGGCAATCAATGCGCCATCGCGTCAACTATCTAACATTTATTATATGGTGACCGATCGCATTTCAATTATTTTCTATTCTAGGTACAGCATTTAATGAATTGAACTAATCCTATGTTTATGACAGCGAGACTGAAATCTACTTACCTGCCTGCGGCCTGACCTACGATGGAGTCACCACGCTGCTGGAGATCGTCGCTGTGCTGGGGCGCGTGAAGAGACTTGTGTTTGAGAAAGAAATATTCTCGGCAAATGCGAGAATGAATTTAGTGATTAGGGCTTCGCAACTGAATATTGGTCTGGAATGGGCTTTCACTCGCGTCTGATGAAATTCGATTACTGAACTCACAGCAGCTTGTGCATCTAAATTGCGTAGTTTGTCTGTACCGACAGACATTATTCTTCATTCGTTGAATATTGTGGGCAATGATTTGATTTATATTCGAATATCTCAATATACAAGTTTATTCCCTACATATTTCCAGTTGTTTTATCTTGTGATGATAATTCGTGATCTATGTGAAAAAGTAAGTAATGTGTCAATGGGGTACACGCATTGAAAATTTATACCTTATCAGCCTTGATAATGGAACTATATCGAGCTTTTATAATCTAAACATGCACGAGTTAATCTCTGTTTTTTATGTGGTCTATCTTGATTGAAAGGGCAAATGATTTTTTTCCTGTATTTTCGCACCCACGCATTTTTCTCTGTATCGTCTCGTAGATGTACTGCTTCATATAAAATGCGGTCTTTGGACGCGCTTTATCATTTAATCAAGTCGCCGTATTAATTTTCTCCTAAATGATCATTTTATGAATTGATGAAATGAGGAGGAATGTTCTAGGTTTGTATTATTTTTTTTTTGTTGCAATAAAATGAACGTGAAATGAGGTTATAATGTGTCATTTGGATCGAAATGGTCTCTCTGATGGCTTTATCACAGAACTTGTTAAGTGGGGTACTGAGTGCATTATAGTTGTGGAATATGTTAAAGGTTGGTACAGAAAATTTTTATGACTTGAAACATCTTTAACTCTACGTTCTCTGATATGATTGGAAGACAAAGTGATTAAGTTGTGGCCTAATTTCTCCTGGCGTTTTATTTCCCACAGAAAATTCACCTAATGACGAAAAAAATTATGCACGTCGGTTGAAATTTCCTTCAAATTCGAAAATTTTCTCGTAAGAGGAATAACCGCTCTCGCAAATATCAGCTGCCAAATGGTTCAATGGCTAACCCAACTATTTGGAAATTACTTAAGCGATCAGCGATCGTGGCTGCGACGAGGAAAATAGACGATCCAATAACTTGCAAACTTGACCAGTATTTACCGTAAACAATGTACATTATAAATTATGATTTTATGGCCATTCGTTATCGCACTTAGTGGAATTACTGCCCAGGAATTATTTAGTCGCGAGCTGCTCAGTTGTCAACGTAAAAGTGTAGCTAATGTGCAAGTTTTATGTCGTGCAAGTTTGCGCTCGAAGTGAAGATCATGTTCCATCTAATCAGGCAACCTTCGGCATTGCAGACGCCATTTCAGCTCAATAAGCTGCAATAAACCAGTTATGGCGGCGCGCAATTCGCTTGCTGAGAGCCGCTGAACGTGGTGCTGTCAGGTGCTGACATACTCACATTTCACACACTGACACACATTTCAAATGAATTCGGCAAAATAATATAAATATAGGGGTAACAAAATTTGTAAGTACATAATGTCAATCAACTTTAATCATATTCAACCTCACATCAAGGCAGTTGTTCGCACGACAGCGACAGAGCAACGAGTCTTGAAACTGACGAGGAATGCTAACGGTTCACACAAGTAATGACCCGCTTGGGGGTACGCAGCCGTGCACCACCAAATTTGTGCACCAATCAGCCTTGAAAGGAACGCCTAGCATATTTCCGGATGACCACCAATCAGCCGCGGATTAAGCCATCCGTCAGTAACCAGCCCGTGACATCATCTTGCTTTAAATATTAGGAGCTTTACGCCACCACATTCTGAAGCGAATAGCCCAGAGAGCAATTGTTATGCACCACTGAACGTTGCATCGAATCATCACTTCATACCCTGACTTTAGCTCTAACTGTAACTTGCGGACAATGGACTGTGACCAACCAGCCCCGGGTCGCCTGTGGAACTGCGTGCATCCTGCCGTGCTCCATCAGACCGTCACTTTTAGCTCACAGCATTGGCGTTAGGTTTCAGAAAGCATAGTTCTGTTTCAAAATCTATCGTCCTCCGACGAGCGACTAATACAGCTTCGCTAAATTACGTAATTTTTATCTCACAGCATCTGAGGTTAGGTTTCAGATAGCATAGTTCTGTTCCAAAATTTATCGTCGTACGACGCGTGGGCGTTCGACCGTAGGCTGATTCGACACACGTGACAGATACGGACGGCTCCGGCGCGCTTCGTCCAGGTGGTGTGAAAAATTTTCGCGTATTGGCAGACGACGCTGGGCCATACGACGTCAGGCTTATTTTCCTGAGGGCTGATTGGTCTAATTCAATGGATGTGATCCGTCTGGTGGCGTGCGGCTCATAATGTTACAGTCAAGAAGCGTTGTAGGCTACGTTCTTCAGGGAAGGGATCATGATAGTCCATTCGAAGCACGGCAGTGGTGGTCTCCGACAGGCGTCCCACCCGCTTGGAGATCCGGTATTTGCTATATGCTATTCTAGCCGATGTTGCCAAAATGAAATCTAAAAATAAATATCTAATCTAGAAAGTGTTTTAACTGCGGCTACAATGGTCTTGCCGCCAACACTTTACCAATCAACACTTTCAACATATAAATGGGCGTCGAGTGAGTCAACAACTCTACTGTATGGCAGCAACATGTCTGAAAGGTCTATACCTGTGTCTTGGAAAATATTGTCTTATCAAACCTATTGCATACGGATACATTCCGATTACTGAATTAAATAGTTTCTTTCAGAGGTGAAATTTGGATTAGAAAGATTTTGATATACTATATAATAATCCCACTATATATCCTAAAATCCTACTATAATTCGATCTTGCTGTTTTTCATGACCTAATTATGGAAGATAGCTGTAATTGTTAAACTACCTACGAAGGTTTTAATAAAAAAATTAATTGGCGTACACATCAGACCTATAAAGATATTTTAAACTTGTGCTTTATTTATTTCTTCATATTTGACAGACATTCTACTTCAATTCTTCAGACTGACATTGTGTTTACCTATCATGGTCATTCCAATTCGATAGAATATTTCGCGCATCCACCTTGTAGGGTTACCAAGATAAAATAGTAATAATAATAATAATAGCGGTTTCAGCGTTTAGTAGGCCGTAGGCCTGTCGCCGATTCTTGACATCGCAGAATATTTACAGCTTGCTGCAGTCTCGAACTCGCAACTCACTGCTCCAAATTCTGCTTTGCTCAAGGGGAGCGTCTAGGTCCAAAGGTCGATATTTTGGCTTCTCCGGTTTTTAGGCTCATCTTAAAGTTTACTTTCTGGCGCATCGAACGGTACTAGAACCATCTCTGTACGTTTATTTATGCATTCGCAACGTTTATTTATGCATTCGCGTTCACGACAAATCCCGTAAGGGGGGAAGGGGGTGGGGGGCCTTCAGTAATTCCAAAGGGAGAAATTAACTATAAAATGTGCTCTTCACTCGGCTGGAGCTCAGTAACCTCACAGACAGCACGCGGGATGGTGTTCATTTAGTGGCTCCATGCACCGATGACTGACTTTGTAGTGAGTTGATGCTTACTTTTGGTATCTAGGCTACGTTACGTGTCTTTACGTGCCGCGCGGCGGTTGTTTGCCTCTACTGAAAAGTTGCCAAAGCTGCAAACCTCTCTCACGGCAATCCTATCTCCTCCTACAGTTTTGAAGCTAAATCAATGAGACATATACCATTCGATTTGGAAAGGAAAGATATACAAACTTCACTTGGCCGTTTTTCCAATTTCGTTATAGTTCGGATTTTATTTTTCAAAAACTGGGGGAGGGCGGGGGCAAAATCGAAAAATTTCGAAAAAAATTGAAAAAAATGCTCCCACACCCACAAAAATGAGAAATCCAAAAAACCGCCAGGTGACGTTTTTAGATATGGTCTTTACGCATCGAATGATACGTATGTGTCTCGATGTTGTAGCTTGAAAATCCACGGAGGAGATAGGATTTCTAAAGTACCCCCTTTTAGGCCGTTTTCTAAGAATTTCACTTTTCTTTCTTTTTTCGAAAAATTTACACGATAAAAGTTTTAGAATTCCGTTTTACAAACGTGTACCAAATTTCGAATCGATCCATCTGTAAATAACCGAGATAAAGTTGTCCCTAGACGCTCCCCTTAAAATGGAAAATAATACATATATTTATTAGGGCCAGTTTTTTTTTATGAAAGTTCATTGGTTTGCCCACTACTTAGCCAGAGATAGACGAGGATAACTCATAAATGTGGCAGATCTCCCGCAACACCATTTATGGGAAGTGAGAATACTTTAGTTATAGATATAATTAATTTGCATTCGTATTGAACGTTTTTGTTGTAGTGTTCAGTTGTTGTGTAACGGTTACCAAACGCTTTAGCGGTAAGCATTCGTACTTTATTAATTTTCTTACTGCTTTTGTTCATTTATTTACGTCTTCATTTTCATGTGAATTTAATCTAGAGATATCCGAAGCCTACATTCGGAGAATAGGTTTTACTAATGGCCATTACTGTCCCAGAACCCACACTGGCAAGGTGTGTATGCGTGTCGTGTCTATTAGCATTTGTTAATACTCTGTGCGTGGCATACGGTCTATTATTTATTCAGTGTACATATATTCTAGTAAGGTATTGTATACATTGATCAGTATATATTATTCTGTACATATTTTAGTGATTCGTTTGGTGTTATATTTTATTCATTTTAGTTTCGTTATTTTCTACCAGGAGTCTGAATCGTGACCCAAGTTTGTTAAATATACTGTACCCACTCCAGGTTCAAGTGAGCTGTCATTACCCAAGGGAGATAAATAACTGAGAACCTGGGGCGGATCCATATTTTAATATAAAATGATGATATATTAAAATTATAATTAATCAGTATAACTCTTCAATACTGTAGATTATTTGCCTTAAGGAAGTAAGGAGCGTGCAATACTGTATGGCTTGGCAATGCTTGCATGGAGGCGCTATGCAAATTCCTTTTAATCTCGTGGCACTAAGCGCCCCTGTTCATATACAACTACAACATGACGCCTTCCAATACACCTACATCGTTTGAATCAGTCACCGGAGTGAAACAACGTCGCATAACAACGTCGCAGGGTGGCCCAGTGGTTAAAGTTCAGAGTACCAGGATTGGCTTCTAAAAACTCACATCTATAATGCGCGCCATCATCATGAGATGTATGGTGGGGGTTGGCCCTAAAGATGAGGCTACAGCAATATTGCAATACTCGCGATATTGCAATATTGTTGAGTCGGTATTCCCCATCGATCTTATTAACGGTCTTGAACTTAATTCAAGCCTTTAGTACAGTTTTATCGTTCTTTTTTCTTTCCCTAGACGCTTTTCAGCGCTGAGGGCTCATAAATATTTAGACAAAAGTAATCGTATTATGGGTACTATAAGTGAGCGACGTTGCGTCCGAACATACCAGGTACCGGCGACACGCCGGACGTGGCCTAATCTTCGACGCCGGCCCTGCTATACTATGCTTATGATAAACAGCGGCTCGAATACATTAATTTTATCATATGCGTTACTAATATAACTTGATATTACAAGTCTAACGTCATTTCAGTGCCGAATAACCGCCATTTTTTTAAATTTCTTCAGGTAAGTCAAAATTGGCAAAACACATACCCATATTTACTGAACACTAGAAGTTGATTATTCTCACATCTCACATAGGCACACAAGCCAACGAGTCAGCTAATTTATATATCAGTTCATTGCAGTTTGAGTTTATGAGTTCATAGACAGGCAGCAAACAACGTCGCCGTAGTGCAAGAAAAAACTACAGAGTTATGACGAGCAATCGTCTACTTGAAGCCTTCGTTTATTATATAGGAGTAGTTTTATTTCGTGGACTGTAACAACAT